AACAAGAAGGATTGGAAATTGGAAATTCGGAATATTTTCTGGTTATTTTCAACCGTAACGGATTTGTTTATGAGGGCAGCGCGAGATGCGAGGGGCATGCAGTCCGCGTGCGCTTTGAATTATTATTACTCTTCTAGTCTTTAATCTAAGAATCATTTAACTAATTTGATTAAATTAAAAAAGTTAGGTAAGTTGGTTAATTATAAGAAAAGTAACACATTTTTCCTAAAACACTGTAATAATCTTTCTTTAATACCCCATCTCCCTCTTCTATTTGATTATGGCTGAGAGAGTATCCATAGGGGTAATTTAGAAAAAATTGATAAATATAAAAAATAGATCTTATATTTAGAACTAAAACTAACTCGGTCCTATATTAAGGACAAGAGGAGTATTATTTTTCTTTATCTTCCTAAAAATAAATGGAACTCTTATTATTAATTATATTGATATATTGATAATATTAATGCCACCCAAATCTGTTCCAACCAATCAGCATCGTTTCTGTGTAAGCCACGCTAAGGACCCAGAGGGGCAGAGCCAAACAAACTTCGTATGCCTTCTTTTTTCAAAAAAATATATTTATAATAAATTACTCCCTTCAGTTTTATATATAAGTTTCATTTTTAAAGATAGGTCTGATTTAAAATATAAGTTTTATTTTTGAGTTTATCTAAATATTTATTACTTTTTCTTTTTTCTAGTTTGTCTTTAGTTGATTGTATTTAGTACTCTCTCTTCTTAATGTTATCCACATATATTTTCTTTCATCATTTTTTATTTATTGTCTCTCATTTACTCTCTTAATAAATAAGAACAAATTTTAAAAAAAAAAATTCCAACCTATTTATTATTTTAAACTAATTTTAACTGTTAGTATGTTAAATGTGATTAGATTATTTAAAGCTTATATATAGGACTGAAGAGAGTATTTTTAAGTGAAACATCTATTATTTATAAATTCTTTTGATAATTTTTTAAAAATCATGAAAATTGATCAGACTCTCGTTTCTTTAATGGCAAAGAATATCGTATACCAACAGCAAAGGCCAGTCTTCCTTAGAATATGAAGGCCCGCGCCTCTCCCAACTAAATTCGATTAATGTATAGGAACAGGAGTTGGCAATCAAATTAAAAATGTTTTTACTTTCCTCAAGAATACATATAAATTTGTTTCTTATATTTTTTCACAAGAGTCCAGTCTTGTTTTAATTTTTTCTAAAAATATGCTTTCGTTTATTTCTTATAAAAGAAATTCAGAAGGAGCACCTTTTATAGAGAAATTACTTGATTAAATTGACTTTAAGCGGTATAATTTGTTGGTACATAAGAACATATTTTGTTGGCGAAGAAAACAAACGTAACAACACAATTGAATGGGAATGTAAAATTGCAAGAGTACCAGGTTAATTTTGATTTTTTTTTTGCCAGAGTGATTTTGATTTATTTGAAGTAGTAATCATCACTGCTGATTAATATATTTAAAGATCATCAGTTTGGCTCAATAATATTTGAATCTGACTTAATCAGATGGTTACATAAAAAACATTTAAATATCAATATTAATATGATAAAATCTATCAGAAATTACACTATTATGAAGAATATAACCTCTTTCTGATATTTTTTTTAAATATAAATTAGATGAGATGAGGGATACGCATAGAAGGATGCACGAGGAAGTGGGATTCCCCCCCCCCCCCCAACGGAAGGGGAATATTATGTGATATCGCAATCACGTCGTGGGTCGGGCCTGCACATTGTCAAGAAATGACAGTCAGTTGAGTAATTAATGGTCCCTCTCGCTTGTCACGAGTTCACATCATCCCTAACCAACCCGCTTGGTCCACTTTGGACTTTTGTATGGATCATGGCCCACCCTCACTAATGACCTTGTCCTCGGAAAGTTATGCTAATTATGGTACTCCTTCGGTCCTTATTATAAGACCTAATTTGACTTTTTATTTGGTCCTAATTATAAGACCCAATCCATTTTGTCTCTTATATTTATGCATTTTTTTTCAAGATAATCCTTCTAATAATGATAGTTTTAGCCAATATACTTAATTAGCAAAGATATTTTAAAAATGACAACACTTATTTATTATAAATAATCAACTTAACTTACTTCCTTAATCTTCTCAAATAAGTCAATTGGGTCTTATAATTAGGATTGGAGGAGTATTTCTTTATATATTTATTTTATTCATGTCAGCTTTATTTCTCAAATATCATTTTTTTTTGTTTTTTTATTACATATAAACATCTTCCAAATAAAAACAATCATATTCAAGATACTGTTAAGCATTAAATATAGGTACCTCTTTAAACGAGTACGCATTATATAATACTCCCTCCAATCAAGACTCATTTTGTTGTGTAATTTACACTACAAAATGGGTCTTATATATAAGACTGGAAGAGTATTATATAGTATCATTTTGTCCAGTAGAAGCACGAGCAAGGATCAGGTAACCTAAACCACTGTAGTAAAATTAATTTCTATATTTTTACGTATATATCTGTGTTTTACATATATAAAGTTGTGGCCTGTGAAGTGTGAACCATGTCATTTGTTATGGATCACTATTACCTCCGGTCCTAAGAACAAGGCCCTGTACCGGAGTTAGTACATAAATAAATATAGATGTGATTTAGGGAAAAATGCAAGTAAAGTTGAATATGTGTGCGCGTGTGTGTCGCGCAAGTGTTCACATGCTGACAGCTGGAGAGATGTGACTGATTATTATTGTTTAAACTGCCACTACTCCTTCGCAGGGAGACGATGGGGTCCATTATAGTCCTATTTGGTAAAGCGGTGAAAATTTTCTATAAATACATCTTATGTAAATTGAAACAAAATTTTTCTTATATATTTGTCTCGTATCATGTAAGTCACTATTAAAAAACAGTTTATAAACTTTTTATAAAGTGTTCTAAACAGGTCTTATGTATGAAGCTGCGTTTCAGTTACTTGAAGGCTTATTTATTTAGATTAACATGTGTAGAAATGATTCTTATAAAGAAAGCTATGGATACTATGCTCGAAGGGAGTAAAGTGAAGTGCTAGTGAAAAAAAGAAGAAGAAGAAGGTAGTAAAGTGAAGTGGGTGTGTGATTAGGGATGCATGTGAATCGCCTTTCATTTATAGTTGTATATAAATCACGTTTAACTAATTTATCATAACTAACACAAGGTAGTTAAGGTTATACACTATTTCTTATCTTAATTATAAGATCTTATTTGTAAACTATAAACGAGATGTTATAATTAGGATTAGAGATAATATTAAAATTGAATCACTTCCCCATTGATCAAATATTTTCATACTACTCCTCCGGTCCTTAATATAAGACCCATTTAACTAATTTGATTAGATTAAGGAAGTTAGGTAAGTTAGTTAATTATAAAAATTGTAACACGTTTTTTTTAAAATACCATAATCATCTCTCTTAATACCCCTTTCTATCTTCTACTTGATTATGGTTGATGGAATATCTATAGGGGTAATTTAGAGAAAATTGATAAATATGATAAATGGGTCTTATATTTAGGACCAAATCCAACTCAGAAATTGGGTCATATATTAAGGACCGGATGAGTACCTTTTATCCTAATTATAAGATCTCACTTATAGTTTAAAAACAAAATCTTATAATTATAACTGGAAATAATATTACGGGAGAATATGGTTGAAGGGGTAGTTTTGGAATAACCCATTAAATACTACACAAAACGATGGTCCACGAGAACTGGCTTATACTGAGGACCACGATTTTCCTTTACCCCTTACGATAGATACCCAGTATACACAACTAGAGTAAGTATGTATGATGTCATCGTCAATAATTAGTGCTTGGATAAGGACATCTCCCCCACTTTGAAAGTTAAATCTTAATTAAGTAGGTGGCCGAGTAGACGCATTCTAGTAAACTACTCGTAATTTATTATCAGAGTTGACTATCTCATCCTTCTATCTCCTCTCCAATTTAGGATTTTTTGAAATAATTCATAAATAGCTTTTATGTACAGAATACAAAATAAGTATATAAAAAGGCCTTATTTCAACTTATATGAAACATATTTATAAATGTTTTTGAACACTATGCCAAATAGGTCTAAAATAACTATGTGAGAAAAATTTTATCGCAATATACATAAAATGTTCTCATAATCATGATTCTAAACAAGGCCTTAATTGTTAGTCTTTTAACATTGATTGTACAAATTAATCATCATATTTGTTTGTTTGCCAAATTTTTTAAGATATGAAGAAAATTTCAAGAAAAAATTGCAAAAAAAAAAAAACAATCTTAGAAATAAAAATATTACAAATAAAACCTATTATAACATCAGTATTGGTTTTGAAAATAATATAAACAAATGATAACAAATTTTATAAATTGGTTCCTGTATATAATTTTTAGGATTTTTTTTTTTGCGATTTTCCTAACTTTTTAATGACAACGCACTTGTTAATTTTCCATAAAAAGACGCAATTTCATCGCTTTGCTATTACGATGGAGCATTGATTTGTCATCCACTCACTCTATAGATGAAGTCGCAGCTTTTGTATTATTAATATTTAATACTTCTCCGGTCTTAAATACAAGACCCTTATACTAATATGTATAAAGGTTTTACATTTAAGACCGGAAGAGTAGTTTGTTTCTAGACTGACAGTTCATTGGTTTTTAATTTACAGTATGAGGGTTTTATTTATTTATTTATTTTGATATTGAACACTTAATATGCAAATGTTTGGTCACAGAAGGTGACGGGGCCAATAAATTTATAGATTTTGCAACATAATAATTTATGAATCTAGCTCATGAAATTACACAAAGATTCATGGATTTAATCGCCGAAACAATATAAAAATACAAAAAACATAATTGCATGTAAGATAACTTTAGTATTGATTTTTTTTAAAAATGGATAACATAGGCTTCTGACAACTATGCCTAAGAAGACAACAACTCCATGATGGATAGGATTCTTCAGGGCTTTGTAAATGGGCTTAAGAAGACAACAAGTCCTGCATTCAAAATCCAATTGTTTAAATCAATTTATAAATTCCACCAGGAAAAAATATATCAATTTAATCATAACGTACAATCAGGATGGATCACCAGAATATCAACATCATTATCAATTTTAATAATATAAAAAAGAATATTAAAATCAGACTCCAATGAGAATGAATGAACTTACAGTATATATTGAGCACGCTGGAGTATAAATATGCAAATGCCAAGCATATGGCAACATATATTGCAACCCCCTGCAGATTTGGATGCAATTTTGTTACCAAATGTTTGCTTAAATTTTAATAACCATAATTCATAAAATAATATAAAATTTGAAATCCAATCCAAAAATAATGATGAACTTCTCGCCTGCGGTGAATGATATCCTAACTCTTTGTTGACCTTGCAATGTTCCCTAAAATGAAAAAGATAGAGAAGGTAAGAGAAACGTATATACTCCTCCGGTCCTTAATATAGGACCCAATTCTTGAGTTGGTTTTGATCTTAAATATAAGATCCATTTCTCATATTTATCAATTTTCTCTAAATTACCCCTATAGATACTCCCTCAACCATAATCAAATAGAAAAAGGAGAGGGAGTATTAAAAAAGATGATTATGGTATTTTAGGAAAAATATGTCACTTTTCTTATAATTAACTAACTTACCTAACTTCCTTAATCTAATTAAATTAGTTAAATGAGTCTTATATTAAGGATCGGAGGAGTAGTTAGCTAATAATAATGAAAGTGTAAGTAACTAGTAAAAGGATTTAAGTTAAGACCTTTGTTGTTTTGGAGTTTTAGAATTCTGTTGCTTGCAAATTTGCTGAATTGCTTCTATCCTGCTCAGCGTAGTTGAGGCACTAGGATCGTCCGGCTCAACCTATATTATATTCATTTACACTTCAGTAAAGAGTTCAATATAACATAAAAGACAGAACTGAACAATTCAATTCTATCAACTTGAATTAAATAAATAAAGATGAATTATACCTTAGCTTTCATAATGGAAGTGAATTGTGAAAAAGCATCATAGACATCCGACATTGTTCTTGTTTGGTGGATGAGTTTAGCCGTCAGACCTAACCGCACACAGAATAATCTATTCATACCCCAAACAAAAAAAAAGCCAGCATATTGTGTGTACATTATACATCCGTATATTTAATACTAGCTCTGTTTCTTAATATAAGAGTTCATTTGATTTTTATTTTGGTCCTAGATATAAGACCTCAATCATTTTTATCTCTCATATTTATTCATTTTTTTTAACATAATCCTTATAATAATAGTAGTTCTAGCCACTACACTTGATTAACAAGGATATTTTAGAAAAGATAACATTTATTTATTACAAATAACTAATGTAACTAATTTTTTTTAATATATTCAAATTAGTCAACTAGCTCTTATATTAAGGATCAGAGGTAGTACTTCATACCTCATGTTCTTAATATAAAAATTAGTTGGGGTTGAATCTAATTATAAATACAAGACCTCAATAAACTTTATTTCTCATATTTATATATTTTTCCCAAAATATTTCTATTATATGTAAAGGATTCTCACCAATAAGTAATTTCAATATACATGATAAGATAATTTTAAAAAGTTAACATATATTGTTATAAATAACCAATCAAACTAATTTTTTTAATAATTTTAAATTAATTATCGAACTCTTATACTAAATACAGAAGGTAGAATAAATTAAAATATAGGGAAATTCGCATTATCTGGGTGTGTACGCACCGCGTCTCAATTTCAAAGCAACTCTGAAAACATCAATGTTGTTGTAGCACAAAGCGAGGGTTCCAATGGCCACGACCTGTCCATGTATTGTCACAAGTGAGGGCCAAAGTCAAAGTCAACGCTGATCTCTCTCACTCACACAATTACTAAGAAACATTCACGAGATGCATATATATATATATTTATATATATATGTATATCAGAAGGTCACGAAACAGTAATGAATAATTTTGTGGATCAATTAAGCTTCCAGATGATTAGAGACAAAGCAAAAAATGTGTAAGAAAATTATAAGAATATTCGAGAAAATTAAGAAGAGATTTTATGAAACCTGAGGAACAGCACAGAATCTGAAAATAGCAGGATCTCTCAAAGCAGACAGGTATCTGAGACAATGTGGTACGTGAACCAAAGCATTTGTGACCATTTCGTTCAAACACTGCAACGCCTTCTTCGAGTTGTTCTCCTCTTTCAGGTCCTACGTACACATACATACACATTCATATATTTTATCCATTTTTAAAAATACAGGAAAAATAAATTAATTCTTAGGAGAGCCATTATTATATATACATATACCTCGAGTTTGTGCACATATTTACTCCAAACTTGGCGAGGCCAAAAGGTGCGTGGCATTGGTATCTCATTAATATCTTCCAAATAATCACGAATGATATTTGCATTCTACAATAATTCCATTGCAATTGAATTAATTTAGTATTGAAATAGGAAATTTGAATTAATCTTCTCTCGCGGAAACATAAACAAAGGAAGAGAGGTTACAAAATGTGGAATATAATTAATTAATAATTTATATATACATATATATATATATATATATTTATATACCTGAAGGAGTGAAGGAAACCCATTGAATTGGAAAGAGATTCAGGAGCTAAATCCTCTGTCCCAGAAGCATAAAAGAGCTTAGAAAGTCCTAACCCTACCAACCCTGCTACGTAATGAGCATACTCATTCAGATCTTCTATTGTCTCTATCTGCAACAATTTTCCCAGATTATTTACTATATTCCATTATTAGTTATGCTTATAAATAAATATGCAAAAGTGAGCGAGATAGGTTCTGTAATTACCTCCTTGCAAATAAATTTTGCCATTCCAGCTCCCATCTGTCTGGTAACTTCCCTAATCACATCCTGATGACTGCATGCTTATTAATAATTACTCATTATTCCAACAGGAATATATAAATACATAATTAATAAATATTTCAGAGGAAAAAACATTTGACTCTATTATGTTTCATGGATAATTATTAATGAATAATGAATGTACCTTCTTTTAAGCTCAAGGAAGGCCGTTCTAACATGATGAAATTGCTCCATAAGAATCTTACAATCTCCGGTTCCACCTTTCCATTAGCAAAAACAATATATTTTATAATACGTACGAAATCTTGAAATTTATAATTAATGAGCATTAGATATTAGATTTCAGTAATTTACTAGCTAGACAGGAGTCTTAGAACTCTTACATGAAAAACTCCAGCGGGGATCAGCTATGCGGAGATGGAATGTTTCCAAAATAGGTATTCTCACTTTTGAAGGCAAACTTGTATCGTCCTCTGCATGCATGCCAAATTATAATATCATTGCATGAGGTTATTTACGTAGTACTTAATTTTATATATGTGTGTGTGCGCGCGCGCGGGCAGTATTTCCATTTAAAGTCATCCAATTATATATTTAAGATATACATAAAGGGTTACAATCACAAGGATTAAATGATGAAAGCAACGTACCGACGGTATCCAAGGCTCTTAGAACCAAATAAAATACGAGTATCTGCCACACCAAAAAAAAAAACATTTATAAATGAAAACAAAATACTAGCTCCTGTTCTTAATATAAAAGCTAGTTGACTAATTTGAGGAGATTAAGGAAATAAGTTAAGTTGATTATTTGTCATAAATAAATATTATTTTTCCTCAAATATCTTTACTAATTAAATGTATTGGCTAAAACCACCATTATTAGAAGGATTATCTTGGAAAAAAATACATAAATATAAGAGACAAAGTGAATTGGAGTCTTATATTTAGGACTAAAATAAAAGCCAAATAAAGTCTTATATTAAGGACCGGAGTTAGTAGTTTTAGCTACTTGCTTGACCTAATTAATTGTAATTTGCAATGCTAGAAACCATGGAACCAACAGATATTCTGGTTCTTAAAGATAGATAGATGACTTTCTCACAAGCACCAATTCAAAGACAGGAGTATGAACGTGCCTGATGGCTTTATGCTGAAGGATCTGGAACAGCCATATCCCAGAAAAGAGGAGAATAAGGAAAAGCTAGCGCAGTAGAAAACATGAAGAAATAAGAAGAAACTCACAGAATCACGAAGCTGGGAATCAAGGTGCTGAATGGTGAGGGCAAAACTTCGAGCGACCTTGTGAAGAATGGTGTAGCAGAAAACCCAATGTGGTTTCTGATCAGGAATGACCTTCTCTGCTTTCCTTATCACCATCTTCATCTTCAACATTGGGTATATTTCTTCTGGGTGCTTCAGAATCGCTCCCAATAAGCTCGCCATTACTTCTAATTCCTCTTCTGCTTTAATTTAGACCTACCGTATATAGCCTAATCAAAAGAGAGAGATATGTGAATGCCAAACACAACACTCAAAAGTAGTAATGATGCCACAAGTAAATTAATTAATGCGCCTGGCTGATTCGTGAGTTTTGGAGAGAAAGTGGGGGAGCATTAATTATATAGAACTTGCTAACTGCAGGTCTCTGAGTCTTATTGGAAATGGCTTCATTATAGTTAGCTGTTTGCATGGCTGCCAGCTGACAAAGCGTTATGCGCGTGTTCGCTTGAATATTTCTCCGACGCTTGAGAGTCAACTATATTCTCTGAGAGGGTTTCATATTTTCTTAATATCCTTGTTATATATGTATATATTTCCAAAGTTCGTTAATTTATGTTGATCTGTTTTCCTTCATTCTTTAATTTCCACTTTATTCTACAACTGAAGATAAGTTTCAATCGTATATTCCAATATCTTATTATATATGTTGATCACGGTGCTGTCTTTTCAACTCAAGCCCGTGTTTCTTTTTGTTCGATCATTTCTATATAAACGGCAGCACTACTATTTCTTAAACTGATATAAGACTCGGTTGATTAATTTAAAAATGTTAAGAAGGTTGTTAAATTATTTAATTATAATATATACTACATGATTTCTATAAAATATTTACGTTTATGGTTAGATTATATACATCAACTTATAAAAGTAATCGTGTATTAGTTTGAAAAAGAAGATAAATATAAGTATTTTAAGATAATTTGTTAACTTTTTTTAATTTTCTCAAATAAATCAACTGGGTCTTATATCAAGATCAAAGATAATGCTTGGTCATATGAAACTATAGAATCTTGATCTCTTCATTAAAGTTGTTAATATATACAAGTCTGTGCACACACCGACTTATTAGCTGTACTGTTTAATGATTGATTAGATGAGATCAGCAAAATCTTACTTTATAATGTCTCCCTATGGGCTATAAAAAAGCCTTGATTAATCAGTTATGGCTCTAATGCGACATAAAGTCCCATGAATATTTTGCCAATCTTCTCATGTGACATGAAAGAATATATATACGTATGTATTTTGATCTACGCACATGATCTGCCTTATCCTTACCGCCTGAATCAACTTAATTAATTTACTGCTTAATCAATATTTATAGACTATTTAAATTTTTGTTAAAAATTTTATTATTCAAAATGTCATTAACCTTCATAGTTGTACGAAAAATGACAAAATATATGCATTTTAGTGTGTATTCATGTCACGATATTTCAAAGGAGAGCTATTACTGGAAAGATAAAAATAACGTGTTTTTTTTTTTGGGGGGGGGGGGGGGGGGATAACTCACATACCCATTCCACATAGCAGAGAATGGAACTTACAAGACTGTGGGAAGAGTTTAGCATTATTGGATCACAAGGTCCGCACGCGCGCGTGCACGTATATTTATCATGCATGCTTTAACAAGAGCAAAATTACATGTTCAGCTTTATTTTGTTCATATATATGTGTGTTATTCTCATGATTTTTATAAAACTTAGTACTTCCGGTTCTAATTATAAAAGCCAATTGACTAATTTAAGAAGATTAAGGAAGTAAGTTTAATCAGTTATTTGTTTTAAATGGGTGTTGTCTTTCCTAAAATATCCTTGCTAATTAAGTGTATTGACTAGAATTATCATTGTTAGGAGGGCTACTTTGAAAAAAATGTATAAATATGAGAGACAAAGTGAATTGGGTTCTTATATTTAGGACCAAAATAAAAACCAAATAGGGTCTTATATTAAGGACTAGAGGTAGTATATTTTTACACAACATACCCATTCTAATTATCTTGTTCATGTTTTTAACTGTGTCTTACACAAAATTTTCATATTTTTACACAATATATAACCTTGTTTGACTTTTATTTTGATCCTAAATATAAAATCCCAATCCACTTTGTTTCTAATATTTATGCATTTTTTCCAAGATAATCCTTCCAATAATAATAGTTCTAGCCAATACACTTAATTAACAAGGATATTTTAGGAAAGACAACATCTATTTATGACAAATAACTAACTTAACTTCTTTTCTTAATTTTTTCAAATTAGTTAATTAGCTCTTATAATTAGGATCGAAGGTAGTATTTGAATAAAAAGTAATGTGAAAGTAGAATAAAGCAATATTGTTGTTGACCAAAAAAACAAATAAAACCATCTTATACATCTGGTGGTACCCCCGCTGATCAGAGGTAGAGTGATAACGCGTGGAAGGGCATCAAAGATTCAAAGGCATAATGCCCTCGCAATTTTTTTTTCAAAAACGTTAATTTCGGGAAAAATTATTGTAAAAAACCTGCACACAAACTAATACCTCCGTTTCTTATTATAAGAGTTTATTTAATTTTTAATCTGATTCTAAATATAAAACCTTAATCCCATTTGTTTTTTATATTTATATATTTTTTTTAAAGTAGTCTTTATAATAGTTACACATGTTAAATATTTTATCAAATGGTAATTCTAACTAATATGTATGATTAACAAAGTTATTATAAGAAAGACAACAACTATTTATAGCAAATAACTAAATTAATTAATTTTTTTAATTTTCTCAAATTTTCTCAAATAACTAACTTATGAAGAAGTATAAAAATCAAAATAAAAATTATATTAAAGGACCATAAAAAAAGTCTAATTCTTATTTTTAATTAGGAAGAAATACGTACATTTGAAAATTGTTTTTATTTTCACGGGCGAAGGATCGAAATTCTGTCATTGAGTGGGTACACCGAAATGATTTTTTTTTTTTCCGGGAAAAAAAATCGCCCACATATTTTCTGAACCTTGAACGTAGGAGGGATTCTCGCATAGCTGAGTGGGAAATAATGTTATAAAATGTCCGCGTGAATCGTGTGGTTCCAAAACAATTGGACCACATATTTCTCTGGCAACGATTCGGTTCTCGATTTGACTGTGTTATGTATGCGTGAGAGGGATATTCTATAATTCCAGCAAGGACGGACAACAAAAAAACAAAAGGGGGCAAAAAGGGCCTGTGATACATTTTCTCAAGCCAGAAAAAATTAAAAAAAAAATCTTTCCAATAAAAAGACCGGTAATCTCACAAGAACTCCATAACAGATACTGCCCCTGTCCTTAATAAAAGATTTTATTTAATTTTTATTTTGATCTTAAATATAAGATCTTAATCTACTTTGTCTCTAATATTTATAGATTTTATTTCAAGATAGTATGTTTAATAATTATAGTTCTAGCTAACACACTTGATTAGCAAGGGTATTTTAGGAAAGACAATACATATTTATTACAAATAACTAACTTAACTTATTTCTTTAATCTCCTCAAATTAGTCAACTAGTTCTTATAATTAAGACTGTGGGTGATATAATTTATTTATTGTTTTATCATAATCTACACGCTCATTATTTTAAATTTACGTTTAAGAAACATTAAAAGAAGAGACTTGGTGTCAGTATTTAAATAAAAATCAAACCATATTTTTAAAATATATAAAATAAATATATCAGAGAAGTTTTATTTTAACTTACATACAAGTGTTTTTTATTGTTCCCAAGAACCTCTTGAATTACAAAGTTCGGACAACAAATATAATTCTTTTTATAACATGAAATGAAAGAAAATAAAATTTATCCTGTTTAACGCAAAGTACCGGTATTTTGATTTAGATTCATCTCATTAATAAAATTTCTTATGAAGGCTTTTTTTTCTAATTTTTCCAAGTATTAATTGATAAATTGAAATAATGGTTTAACATCTTATTAATGGATAAATTGAAATAATGATATAACATCTTTGCCAATGTCTTACTCGAGTATATAATCATATATTTTTTATGAATAAAGTGAAGCGAGACCCTTTTTTTTTTTTTGGGAAAATTGGTTAAAAGTTCCTCCTTTACAAATTAAGTAGGGAATGTGATTTGCAATGAATTTAAAAGTGTGAGCCTCTCAAATGTCAGTAAGTATGGTAAGAAAAGACTATATTGCCCTAATAGATACTAATTGCATATGATGGATCCTCACTTGCATATCACAGGTCCTAACTATATATGGTGAATACTTAGTTGCATATGGAGTCTTATTGCATATTACAGATCTTAATTACATATAGTTGACCTAAACTTGCATATTGCTGATTTTAATTACATATTGTAAATATCTAATTGCATATAGTGTCTTGTTGCATATCATAGATCCTAATTGCATACGATTGATCCCAAGTTGCGTATTGGTTATTTTAACTGTATATATGGATGTCTAGTTATATATGAGACGTTATTGCATATCATGAATCCTAATTGCATATGTGATATTACTGATCTAAAGTTGCATATGCTTAGTTCTAATTGCATATCGCAGATACGTAGTTACATATGAGATCTTATTGCATATTACTAATTCTTATTGTATATCATATATTCAAAATTGCATATTGCTGATTTTGATTGCATATATGCTACTTTGTTCACATCAAATTTCTTTATACAGTATTTATGAATAAATTCTTATGTACAAACTAACATGACGGAGGCAGAATCCGTCATATGCAATCAGTACTTGTAGATAAGAATTTGTTTATAAGCTCTGCACAAATTTTTTTTGTTCATGTAAGTAGCAATATATATATATATATATATGCAATTAGAATTAGCAATATGCAAATTTGGATTAATGATATGCGATTAGAATTCATGGCATGCAATAGGGTCTCATATGCAACTAGGCATTTGCAATATACAATTAGAGTCAAGCATATGCAACTATTAATCGGCAACATGCAATTATGATCTGTGATATGTAATCAAGTCTCATATACAACTAGGCATATAGATATGCAGTTAGGATCATCAATATGCATCTTCAGATCATTTATATGCACTTAAGATCTGTGATATGCAATAACAGACCATATGTAACTATGTATTCATAACATGCAATTAAAATCAACAAAATGTAAGTTTGGATCAATGACATGCAGTTAGAATCCATAACATGCAATAAGATCCTATATACAGCTAGGTATTCACTACTTGTAATCAGGATCTATGATATGCAAGTGAGGATCTGTTATATGTAATTAATATATGTTAGAGCAGTATGATATTTTCCTTACCACACTTATTAGTATTTGAGGAGCCTATACCTTTTTATTTGTTGCGGTTCTCATTCCCCGATTAATTTGTCAAAGAGGAACTTAGAATCAATTTTCCTCCTTTTTTTTCCCTCTGGGCCGAACAATACTTTGGTACGTTTTCAAAGAAACCGTTATTTAAAAAAAAAAATCGTCCAGACACGTCATGGGTTTTTTCCCCCTAAATAATCCAACAACGTGTTTGCGTTATTCCTAGTTTCTTTTGGGGAAGGGAACCGCTTTGAAGAGATGGGCCTTTCAATTAAAGAGGCAAAGACGGAAATATGGAGCCCCACAATCCAATGCTGTGTCAAAATCATAACCCATTATATTTATAAACATATAATTATACTGCTTCCAAGTTTTTTTTGACCAAAACTGCTTCCAAGTTCATCATTCACGTAACAGAACAGAACTTATTTTCCACCCTATGTGATTAAATGCACACAGATGATTCCACATGAATCATATGTCCCAGCAATTTTAAATGTGAGGACACGATTGACACTTTGCAAATAATAATGGGTGCATAGTTGATGGTATAACTGAAAAAGATAAATTAACGAAGCTTTTCATTTTTAGAATAATAAACGTTTTTTTTTTCCTTACTTTCATGACAATAATAACTTAATGAATAGTTTTGTAAGACAGTGATATGAAAGCTTTTTATGTTAAAAAAAAAAAAGACATGAAAGCTTTTTATAAATGATATGGATTCGGGCAATTAGTACCTCCTATTCTCACTGGGGAAAAAAAAGCTTTGGGACAAAGTTAAAAGTCCAAGATGGCAATGATATGGCACGAATGGAGGCATTATTAAAAAATTAAAAAAGTATTAATTCATTAATTTATTATTATACAATGATTATGGCATTGAAATACTTTTATTCTCACCAAATCCCAATGTACCTGCATTTGTTTGATTCCAAATGTTGATTCGGAAATGTTAGGTTACGTCTGAGAAGTGAGAAATATGATGGTGTGTTTGGGATAGCAGTGGCAGAAGTAGTTTTTTTTTTTCAATTTGACTTTTACAGAAGTCAGATTGAATAAAAGTCAGATAGAGTAATGTGATTTATGTTTAGATTGAGTTTTGAAAAAATGTCAGTCTGAGAAGCTGAAACTTGTTTGGATGATAAATGTAAAAATAAATTTGAATATAAAATGACTGAAAAGGACATATACTTTATTAAACAATATATATTTATTTTATATACTTATAATGTGATAATTGTAGAGAAAAATTAAAATTAATTATAAAAATAAAAATAGTTACTTTTTAAAGAATAAATAATTTATTTTTAAAAAATGATTTTATTATTCAAAAAATAATTGTTTAAATATTGAAAACTAATTGGCTGGATTAAAAAAAAAAAAAGAACTCACATAATGTATTCTCTCTCCTCCCTCACTCATGGGCCCCACGAAGGGTGTAGTGGAGAAGTTGCGAGCGGGAAGACGGAAAAGCTGAAGGCAGCAGCTTATGAAAAAAAAGTCCATTTCCCGTATAAGTCCATTTATTTTCACCGTGAATCCAAACATCTCTTTTAAATAAGAAGTTACTTTTTTCAGTTTTTACCAGTGGAGAAGTTAGTTTGAAGACCTTCATCGTGATCCCAAACACACTCTGGATATAGATTAATAGTGTATTTGCTTTAAAACACTTCCATGAATTCCTCTAAGGGGCTTAAAATCATTTTTAAAACCATAAAACACCCCCTAAGATCACAAGCCTGAGTTCGGTAAGCCACGCGCGTGATACCTGCGAAGTGGCTTTAAATTTGATGGCCGCGCGAGGGAAGAACGCAGGTTAGTTGGACGACAATGGAAACTTCAACGGCAACTTGGTTAACGACATCGTTCCCCAACCAACGCATCATTTAGTTGCTTTCCTTCACCGAACTCCATTTTCTTTCTTTTTCTTCTCCACCCACCCCACTCCTCCACACTCTCACGTTACAACTAAACCATAACATAATGCAGCTCAAATCCCTTTCACTCCCTTCCCCAATCCCCATTCGAAATCCTAATTTCCGACAATTATCTCAATCCTCTCTCCACTTCAACTTCTCCGACTCTCCCTCTCCAACCTCCGGTTTTCCTCTCAGTTTTCGCAGTGCGCCGTTGGAAACTCGTAATTGTAAGTTAGTAAGGTCTTTCATTAAAAACGGAGATGGAGTTTCTGGAAGCAATCCAGAAGCTCGGAGTAAGTGTAATTGTAGTTCCGAGTCAGTTTCGTGGTCCGAAGATGAAGAGGTGGCAGTGGAGGTTGATGTAAGCAAGAGACAGGCATCGACTAATCAGAGCATATTGTCGCAAGTAAAGGAGATTATCATGTTTTCTGGACCAGCCACTGGGCTCTGGATCTGTGCGCCGTTGATGAGTCTCATCTCAACCGCTGTGGTTGGTCGAGGAAGCTCAACTGAGCTTGCTGCTTTAGGTAGCATTTCAAAATGGCAACCCCTGGAACTTACTCCCTTTTCTTTTCTATATTTTTTTAGTGATTCGAAATGCTCAATGGTATAGGCAAAGATCGGAATTTAAATCCTATATTTTCACTAATGGTGAGCAGGGCCGGGAACGGTGTTTTGCGATAACATGAATCTACTGTTCATGTTCCTTTCCATTGCAACTTCAAACATGGTTGCTACTTCACTTGCCAAAGGGGTTAGTTCTTGGACCTCCGATGGATATAATGCAATACGTGATAATCCATGTGATGATATTAAGCTATAGCCAATGTCCTAATAACAAAAACTCATTCTCACTCCTATTCATGTGCCTTTTCCTGTACTATGCATCGGTCGTCGGGGGCTAGGGTGATCATTTTTGGGTCTTGGTCCTAAATATACAATGCAAGATGATTCTGCGTCATAATCTTCAATAATGTCTTATCTTATGCCGTTGCCACCCTGTCAATATTTTGCTGTGGTGAATAAACTCCAAGAGTTAAAATATGTGGAAATTACATGACGTGGACATTTTCTGTTAAATTCTGTACTGTACTTTCACCTGAGATGGTTGAACTAAAATATGCAGGACAAAGACGAAGTGCAGCACCAAATATCGGTTTTACTTTTTGTTGGCCTGATATGTGGAACCTTGATGCTTTTGTTTACTCAATTTCTTGGTGGATGGGCATTAACTGGTAAGTAATCCAGATGTTGTATTATCCAAATGCGCACAGATATATTATGAACATTAGTTATTTTCAGAAGTTAATAATGTTTTCTGGTGGGGAGGTCAATAATTTTTTATTTACAGTTTTTATTGGGCCAAAAAATATTCAAATTGTACCTGCGGCAAGCAAATATGTTCAGGTTTATTTCTTCTTTTTCATAAATCCTGTTTATTTCTTCACTGTTGATTCCCTTCCCTGTCTACATATACTTCCTATTCATGTCTCTAAACTTACGGCCTGACAGTGCATTTCACACCTAATTCTGAGGTTGATTTTCAGATATTTGACTAAAAAAGAGCATTTCTGTTGATAGATTCGAGGTTTAGCATGGCCTGCTGTTCTCTATGGACTGGTTGCTCAGAGTGCAAGGTGCGCCTCTTCTCATGTATTATTATTCATCGCATGGAACCCTGAAAACATGTAAAGATTGTTGTGTTATAATGATCTTTGAACATTATTTTCAACTATTTGTAAGATAATGTATCTCGGTGCTCTTTTATATGCAGTGGCAGAGAAGCATTACCTTTGCATGGTGCATCTTTCTCTTTAGCATCAATGTTTATCCAGTGAATTGCATGTTTTTTAGCAGAATTTCGCTTCATCACTAGAATATGATTTTGAAAATGTGTTCTTTCATGTCTAATCCCTTCTCAAACCGCAGTCTGACAAGCGTTGAAAACAAGTTTTCCCATGCACTTGAAAGGAGAAACTTTTTGTTATGAAGTAGCCTTCAAGAAGAATTTGACTTTATTATTGTTACATCTACTAATGAAAGGTAAAGGCAACCACGAGACTAGCCATCCTGTTCTATAAACGGCATAGACATTTGGTAGAATGCATTTTACTGTAGTTTTTAGTAGTGAAAATCCTCAATGTAAATTGCTGGTATCTACAAAGATGTTCTTTAGTAGATGAAGTTTTAGTTTAACCTTAAGCTGTAACTTATATTGTTATGCTGCATTCTGAGAAAATTTTGTCTCTGATCATTAGCCTTGGCATGAAAAATTCATGGGGACCTCTGAAGGCTTTGGTCATTGCCAGTGTTGTTAACGGCATTGGTCATATAGGCCTATGCAGTTTTTTTAACTATGGTCTTGCAGGTGCAGCATGGGCAACGCTGGCTTCCCAAGTACGTCAAATAAACATTTTTAACAAGATCTGGCCTGACGTTTTCTTTATTTTTATTCACTTTCTCATTCTTACAATAACCTCATTTGTCGGACTCCTTACAGATTGTAGCAGCCTATATGATGGTTGCAGCGCTAAACAAGAAAGGATATAATTCTTTTGCCATCTCAATACCATCACCCTCTGAATGTGTGCAAATATTTGGGATTGCTGCACCTGTATTTGTGACCATGTTCTCAAAGGTTAGCCTGATCCTGCTTGAATCTGTGTCTCTATTGGTTTCCATGTTGAAGATATACGCATCTGAAAACTTTTTAGTGTTTTTAGGTGGCGTTTTACTCTCTCATAACATATTTTGCTACAGCAATGGGTACTAATACGGTTGCAGCTAATCAGGTTAGCTTTACTCACAAAAGTGCTTATGGTTACTTCGTTTTTTGCCATAACTTTCTCTGGTGCAGGTCTATCCAATTAATATTAACTCTCAATCTACCAACAATTAGGTTATGATTCAAATGTACAGCATGTGTGTGGTATGGGGGGAGCCACTCTCTCAAACTGCACAGTCTTTTATGCCCGAGTTACTATATGGTTTCAGCCGAAGTTTGGTAAAGGTTAGTGAGGTTTGAAACTTCAAATGTATGTATAATATCTCACTGCATGTCTTAGTGAGTGACACTTGTCATATCGAACATTTTTTTGTCCTGAAAGTAGTTGTCTTTGTCCATGAAAACCATGACTTGATTTGTGTGCAGCATCTGGCTCTTAAATGGGCTCTGTTTGTCTATGTCCTCTAAAGGTTTTGCAACATCAAACAGGCTCAAAATCTGCTGAAGTCACTGCTGATTATTGGAGCTTTACTTGGATTGGTAATAGGAACAATTGGAACGTCTGTTCCTTGGTTTTTGCCGAATATTTTTACACCTGATCTTAACGTCATAGAAGAGGTTAGATATTCTGAACTTGTGGAACAATTATTGTCATCTGCTTTTCACATTTACAGTAATATGGCATTTCTCATATTAACAGTATGGCTAAAATATACATGGATAGACCAATTTTTGAAATAAGGTTCCTCCAAGGTTAATTAATTTCAAATTTCAGCCCACCATCAACTTTTGTTATAATCAACTTAATTAGATATAATCAGTCAACTTTTGTTACTTCAATAAATGATTGAAAACTTTACGGTATACAGTCCTGAAGTGAGGTATATTCGATATTTCTTTTTATAGACTCCAAATAGAGAGGACTGATATGAGGATATTATTTTATAAGGCAATGTAGCGATAATATTGATGTGATGAAATTTGATATCTGCAAAGAATTAAGTTCAATATGAGATCAAAGGACCATTTTCTTTATTTGGTCTTAATTGAAACTGAATTTCTATTAATGCAGATGCACAGTGTGTTGTTGATGTTCTTTGTTGCATTATTGGTGACACCCTGTGCTCACAGCCTTGAGGGTACCCTATTGGTATGTTAGACCTATTTTCTTATTTCCTTTTTGAATGTCCTTTGCTAATGATATAATCTTATCCTAAGAATGTTTTTTTCATCTCTTCTGTGAGTTTAAGGGGAAAAAAAATGAATTTTTTTCCGTAGGCTCTAGCCTTTCTTTTTTGGGTTCAATCCATAAGCGTCATGATGCACGTCCACATAAATGTCAAATAACAGATGTGACAAAACGGAATTTTATGCACAATGTCTACTTATTGCTGCCATTCCTATTTCATCCCTCCCCGATGTGCCACAAGTGTCGTGCTTAATGCGTATCTAGCCTATTTTTCTTAGTAAATGATGCATAAATTAAATTCCACGTTCGTGTATGGCAAAAAAAAAAATCCACGCTCAGAAGTAAACGAACCTTCAGAAAGTTTTTTTTTTTTTTTTTTTGGAATCGAAATGAATATATTAACAAAATGTACAAATAGCTTACAACGGTACAACATCTAAGCTACGGACCCTATAAAACTGGGGAGTTCACTAGCATTAGTTGTGTGATTGACAAGAGTACAAACAGAGATAATAATTTCCTCAGGGTTAGAGGATTCATTCATGAAAATACATTTGTTTCTATTATCCCATAATTTCCAGCAAGGGGTGCCAAAAAAGAGGCGCCAGTGAGTGCCCATGCACCTTGGGTTGAGGTTCCAAAGAAACCAGTCTTGGATGGGCTTTTGGAAAAATTCTTGAACGCGCGACTGTGGAATGGATTTCCTCCAGCAGGTGTAGGCAGTGGGACAGCGTCGAAAGATGTGATCTAGGTTTTCCAGTTCTGCATGGCGTAGTGCGCAAGTTCCTTCAGTGGCTATACTCCGTCTGATTCGTTCTTCATTGGTAAGGAGACGGTTTTTCATGGCCAGTCATAAGAACGTTCTGATTCGTTGTGATCCTGGCCATTTCCAGACCCAAGACCAATTTGTGCTTTGTTCAGTTGTCCATATTCCTTGATCTTCGTGATAAGCAGTTGAGACAGAGAAGTGTAAATATACCATGTTCAGAAAGTTTTTGTTCTAGGATAATGTTTTCTTTTGGATCCGCAGGCTGGGAGGGACCTTCAATTTATCAGCTTAACAATGAGTGGATGCTTCGGTCTCGGTGCCCTCTTACTATTGGTATGTGTATATTTAAGTCTTAAAGCGTGTCCCGAGTTCAATTCTGATGTATCTAGACTTAAATGGCCCTTTCCCTTTTATATTTCAGGCTGTGAGTACTAAAGGATATGGTTTGCCTGGCTGCTGGTGCGTTCTTGTGGGGTTTCAATGGGTAAAGATTGCAATATTTACACTTTATTTTTGGTTTACAATTAGGCCGAACCCTATCTAAATATGTAGGTCTTTTCAGGCTCGTTTCTTCCTTGCTCTATGGCGTCTTCTCTCTCCCAGTGGCATGCTCAACTCCCAGGAATTGGATAAATTGAAAGCTGCTTAGTTCAAATTCTTTATTCTCGTGCCTCCGAGTTTAAGGGAACTCCCATTGATCTAATCATGATCAATCGATCATTGTCATTTTTTCACCATTTTTTCCCCATTGCACGTGATGCTTGTACTGCTCGTTTTCAGCAATTAAACAAGTAATGAATAATTATCGAAGAGTGCCTTTATATCAATATATGGTTTTTATATAGTACCTCTTGTAAGAGACAATTGTGGGTTTGGAATTTGGATTTTATCCTAAATATAAAATCTCAACTTATTTTTTTACTCCTTCGGTCTTTAATATAAGACCCAATTCTTGAATTGGTTTTGGTCCTAAATATAAGGCCCATTTATCATATTTATCAATTTTTTTAAGTTACTCCCATGGATACTCCCTCAACAATAATCAAGTAGAAGATAGAGAGGGGTATTAAGAAAAATGATTATGGTGTTTTAGGAAAAATGTGTCACTTTTCTTATAAATAACTAACTTACCTAACTTCCTTAATCTAATCAAATTAGTTAAATGGATCTTATATTAAGGATCGGAGGAGTAATATTTTTTCAAAATATTTTTATTAATTATAAAAATTCCCACGAAGGATATCCAATAAATACATGCTGAAAAATAAAATTTCATCAGAGAATAATAAGATACAGAGCTACGGAACAAAAGTCGAGAAATGGGCGTTTCCTCCATCTGCCGATTATTAGGGGCTTTTTTATCCAGACACGACAAACAGTAAAAATATTTACTCAGATACTACACTTGAAATCGTTCAGACAGTGAACGAGTTTAAATTTGTACAGAAGTTGTTCAAGCCAAAAACGACTTCAGTGGGACCCACATCCAAAATATGAAAGTTGTTCTTGGTCTGAACAACTTCAGTGGGACCCACATCACAAAATAAAAGTTGTTCTTGGTCTGAACAACTTCAGTGGGACCCCCTATATACATTTGTCTTACACTCCATATGGGTTCCATGCGTTTTCAGCTTTTTTATTTTTTGACCAGATTATTTCTGCCTTTTCCAGCCACACGCAAAGTGTTCCTTCCTTCCCCAAATATTCCCATCAATGTAGAGTAGTCATTCAATGTCTCTCACGCGTGAGTACTTTGTTTTTGCATGTGAGTGTATAGTATGAATTCTATTTATATAAGATATTCGCCATTCCCACTCATCAGAAGGCTTCTCTTCACTTCTCACATTCTTCTTTCTCTATGTGTAAGGCATTCCCGTGAAGTAGGTAAATACGTTTTATCTCAACTTCAATTCTTCATACAATTCAATTCTTCTTTCTCTATATATAAGGCATTTCGCGTGAAGAATTGAATTTTATCTGCAGGTCCTTCAGTTCTTCTTTCTCTTTCCACAATTTCACGTGAAGTTGGTGGTGTGTGTGGCCTTGCAAATATTGTATACGTTTTATCTCAACTTGAGGCTTAATTTTCTTCTGATTAAGGTACATTCTCTTGATTATTATTTTTTTAAAATTTTGATATGTATTTTGCTAAATGATGGATAAGAATTTTATATTTAGTCATTTTTACATGTTGAGTTTGTTTTAATTAAAAAAATGTAGACATATAATTAATTGTCATATAAAATAAATTACAGTTTATTTTTTTATAATCTGATTAAATATATATCTTTTTTTTAGTAGATAGTGTTTGAGTAAATATGTAGTCAAATTAAATATGTATTTAGTTAGATAATATTTGGTTGTGAGCATGGTAATCAAACTTCTCCTATGCCAGTCAATACGTCATGAAAAATACTTAAATATTTAAAGAAAAATTGATGGAATAATATTCCCCACTCATAAAATTTTAATATACAACGATAAAATTATTTTTGTTAAAATTACGTAAAATTCATATCAAAGCATGCGTAGAAGACAGTTAAATTATTTAACTATAAAAACCTTTAAAATATTGAAAATCCAAATCAGTAGTCCAAGTTATAATTTTTATTAAATTTATAATTATTTTATTATTTGATTATGCATAGTGACTTCATGTATGAATTTCATAAATTCGAGTTTACATACCTGTCACGAGTTTACTTAAACTCGTGAGTTTGACAACCCCGGTTGTGAGCTTAGTCTAGTCTTGTATCTAGCCAATGAAAGCTAGCACTAAATGGTGTCAAAATTTCCCTAATAAAAAGAGTACTGATGGTGGGGTTAATAATAATGAAAGAAAGGAGTTTTTTTTTTGTTGGAAAAATTAGAGAGGAGGACCTAGAGAAAGCAATATTTATTAAAGAGGATCTTAAAAATTATAATTATTTAGACAGACCAAATAATAAATTATAAATTTAAAAAAATCACTTAACAGTAATAGCTAATTGTTTCGTCATATTAAGTAATTATAATTTTTAAATAACTAGTGTGAAATAGTTATTAACATTTATTTTTGTTTTCAATCATAAGGATTTTTTTTGGGGTCACTTAAACGGTACCTAATATAAAATTACACAAGTACATTTATTATAAGCTTATTATTATTTAATGTAAATTTACCTTTATGTGTTAACTAAAGTATATATCTCATCAAAAGCATTTATTCGCAATATAGAAATTAGAGGCTGCAAGGAATATGATTATTCTTTAATAATATAGATAAATTAAAATTGAACATTTGAAGTATGAAGTTGGGACCAGGAGAAAAATGAAGCAGAGGCAATTTTTTTGAATAAGAAATATTTTCAAATTAATTTATTTAATCAAATATTTATCTAATTTAGTCATTAAAATTATCCAATAATGGAACATAAGTTAGAAAAAATTTAGGAATGTAGTTGTGGGAGAATTTAATGTTTTTAAATATATTTAATCCTTCTAAATACTTATAGTTTTTAAGATCCTTTTTGATAATAAAACAGAAGTAATGATTTTAGCTAATTTTTTAATAATATTTAATTATAATATATTTTTTGAATAAAATGGAATGAATAGAAAATTATTTATTTAATATATTTGAAATATGTAATTTATATTATTAATTTTATATTGATATATTAGAATTTATAATAAAATTTTAATATGTAACGTTTATTTTTAATTGAAATTATTTTTTAATTTATTCTAAATATTTTTTATGATTGATGTTCCACAGTCGTTGTTCATTAAAAGATATTACAGGTTACTATCTTACTTAAAAATGTAAATAAGTTTCTTAATAAATAGCCTAATTTTTGTAATTGTAAATAAATGATTATTCTACTACTTTATTTTAAAAAATATATACATAATTGAATTAAAAAATAATGATATTATGGAGTTAATTTAGTTTTACAATTCATTTTTGTTTAATTACTAATTATAATGTATTATTTAGGAAGCAGAATGGATCATAGAAAAGAGTTTGTGTGTATATTTGCAAATGGATGAATTTTTAATGGCCCGGTCGGTGCAACATTTGAGTGTGATAGAGCGAAAGTAGTGAAAGTTGATCCAAATATTATATTGGATAGATTGAAGGAAGTTATTGGACGAAAACTACAACTTCCTCCCAATGGAATTGTGACAAATCTAGTGTACAGATATCCTACGTGCATAAATCCACCACAATACCAAGCATGCAGTCTAGAAGATGATTCGGATGTACAACAAATGTGGCAAGTGAACCGTCGATTCTCAACTCAGTTAACATGTGCAGAGTTGTATGCCAATATAGGTGACTTGGAAGATGTTGGTCATATTGAATCACAACTAATGGACAAAAATGCTGGAAATACTCTTCCATCAAGTAGCAATCAGCTGAACATTATAGAAGAAGAATCCATGTTTAGCGATTAGATGGCAAATCTTCACCCATTTGAACTTCCCCAAGATGGTATCAACAATGGGTCATCTTGCTCTGTTCCTCAAATGGAAGATACTATGGATGAATTTGAGGACGAAGATCAATATGATTCTTATTTAAATATTGGTGATGGGAATGATCATGATGACAATGATGAGCATGACGAGATCAACCAGGATAATGAGCTAGCATCTGCTTTCTTCTCGCATATTAATGTTGAGTCAGCTATGGCTCTTGAGTTCAGTGAATTAGAAGAAATTCCACCTTTAAGTCAAAATGAAGAGTTACATATCGGAAAGATGTTTAGCAATGTTCGTGCTTTGAGACGTGCGGTCAAGTTATACTCTGTTCGAGTTCATCACACATTCAATGTCTATTATTCATGTAACAAGTATGAAGAATATCGATGCATTAACTATGGTGAAAGCTGCAATTGGAGAGTAAGAGCTTGTAAGAAGGAAAACAGAAACTTTGGCAAATTACAAAATATGGGGGGCCCCACACATGCTTAAGCACATCACTAACTCAAGACCATCCAAAGTTAGATGCTGATGTTATATCATCTTGTATCATAGCAATGGTAACTGATAAGCCAGATGTGAAAGTATCTCAAATTATAGAGAGGATACAATCCATGTTTGGTTATATAGTGTCATATAAGAAGGCTTGGAATGCAAAACAATTAGCCATTGCCGTTGCTTTCGGGAATTGGGAGATCTCATATTCCTTACTCCCAAGGTGGTTGGCCGCAGTACAACACTTCATGCCTGGATCATACGTACAATTTTCAAATTAACAGTGCTCTCAAGTCAATGCGAATGGGGAACCAGTTGAAATGTTTCGCTGTGTGTTTTGGGCATTCAAGCCATGCATTGATGCCTTTCCACATTTGAAGCCCATTATACAAGTTGATGGAACATTTTTATATGGAAAGTATAGGGCACGTTACTAATGGCTATATCACAAGATGGTGACAGAAATGTTGTGCCGCTTGCATTTGCGGTAGTTAAAGGGGAGACAAGATCAGCTTGGACATGGTTCTTATACCATGTGTGTCATTGTATTGTAAAAGATAGAATAAAAATTTGTTTAATTTCAGACAGACATCGTTCAATTTTGGCTGTAGTTTCTGATCCTCAACATGGATGGCAGCCACCACATGCACATCATGTTTTTTGTCTACGTCATGTGGCCTCTAATCTTCACAAAGCACATGGAACAAATTGGCTAAAAGAGAAATTTATAAATATTGGTGAGATTTCTTGTTTTTTAATGATACAATAACTTTATAATTTTATGATTATTTTTAACAAGTTAATAATTACTTGTAGGGTATGCGTATGAACGTCATGTTGTTGACCAACAATTAGTAGAGATAGT